GAGAGTGACAAGTGTTGGTGAAGATGTAGAGAATTTGGAAACTTCAGACATTGCTGGTGGGAATGTAAGATAGTGAGGCCACTTTGGAAAACATTGTGGCAGTTCTTCAAACTGTTAAAAAATAGAATTACCATGAAGCCCAGAAATTCCACTTTTATCTATTTTATTTTTATTTATTTATTTATTTATTTTTTCAATCTTTATTGTTGGATGTAAAATGTATTACAGATGTTCCACATTTTTCCCCCATTGGCCCCCTCCTCCCCACTCCCGTCCCACTCCCACCTTTTCCCACACTATTGTCTGTGTCCATTGGTTATGCATATAAGTTCTTTGGTTTATTTCTTCCCACCCCACCCCCCAACCCCTTTCCCTTTGAGGTTTGTCAGTCTAGCAATGAATTTGTGCTTCTTAATCACTTCACCTTTTTCACCCATTCCCCTAACCCCCCTCCCAACTGGCAACCAACAAAATGTTCTCTGTATCTATGAGAATGTTTCTGTTCTACCTGTTCATTTTGTTTGTAGATTCCATTGTTGATAGATATGTATTCATTGCCATTTTGTTAGTTCATACATTTTATCTTTTTCTTCAAAAGACCATCATTTCATATAATAACGGTTTGGTAGTGATGAACTCCTTTAATTTTTTCTTGTCTGGGAAAGTTTTTATATATCCATCGATTCTAAATGACAGCTTTGCAGGATAGAGTAATTTTGGTTGTAGGTTCTTGGTTTTCATCACTCCGAATATTTCTTGCCACTCCCTTCTGGCCTGCAAAGTTTCTTTTGAGAAATCAGCTGACAGCCTAATGGGAACTCCCTTGTAGGTAACTAGCTGCCTTTCTCTTGCTGCTTTTAAGATTCTCTCTTTGTCTTGAACCTTTTGCATTTTGATGATGATGTGTCTTGGTGTGGGCCTCTTGGGGTTCATCTTGTTTGGGACGCTCTGTGCTTCCTGGACTTGTATGTCTGTTTCCTTCACCAAGTTAGGAAAGTTTTCTGCCATTATTGTTTCAAACAGGTTTTCGATTTCTTGTTCTCTCTCTTCTCCTTCCGGCACCCCCAAGATGCGAATGTTGGCACACTTGAAGTTGTCCCAGAGGCTCCTTACACTATCCTCATTTTTTTGGATTCTTTTTTCTTTTTGCTGTTCTGATTGGGCATTTTTTGCTTCCTTATATTCCAAATCAATGGTTTGCTCCTTGGAGTTACATACTCTATTATTGAAGCTGTGTAAATTATTCTTTATTTCAGTTAATGCCTCCTTCAATTCTAACTGTGTATCCATGATTTCTAACTGGTCCTTTTTTTATGCTCTTGAGGCCCTCCCTAAGTTCACTGAGGTTCTCACTAAGTTCATTGAGCATCCTTATAAGCAGTATTTTGAACTCAGTATCTGTTAGGTTGCTTATCTCCCTTTCGCTTAGTTCTTTTATTGGGGTTTTGTTCTGTTCTTTCATTTGGGTCCTGTTTCTTTGTCTCCTCATTTTGGCTGCCTCCCTGTGTTTGTTTCAGTGTATTACTTAATGAGAGGTATGGGGCTCGCTGAGACCCAATGCTGCTTGTTTGAAAGAATTTAGGAAAAACCTGAAGCAGGATCCAAGACTGGCCAATCCTATGGTTAAGCAAGTGGCAACAGCTTGGGTTGGTTGAAAGTTGGGTGGGGCGGGGCGGGGCTTCAGGGAGTCAGCAGGGCGGGGCTACCAGTGTGAGCCAGGTTGCTGGAGTCCCAGATATGACTGCTGTCTGCCGCCCTAGGGAAGGGCTCACCAAAGGAACAAAGGCCTCTTACAGCACGTTTGTCCCTGAGAAAGCCCCCTCTCCAGCCCTCGCTCCAGTGCCAAACAGCTCAGTTCTTCCCTGTATGTCTCTGGCGCCCCTCGAGCTGCCTCCCCTCCAAGCTTAGAGGGAGAGAGTCCGATAAGTCTGTGCGCAGGCCCTTTAGGGAGCTGCCTGGGGCTCCAGCCGCTTCAGCCTCCCTGAGCCTCAGTTTCCGCTGGTTTTTCCAGCCAGAAGTTATGGGGACTTCTCTTCCTGGCACTGGAACCCTGAGTAGGGCACCTGGTGTGGGACGGGGACCCCTCAGTGCTCAGGAAGGACCTTCCCAGCCACAGGAGCCTCCTGATTTTAATCCGCCACACGTGGGTGTGGGACCAGCCTGTCCGCCTCCGCCCCTCCTACCAGTCTGGATGTGGCTGATTTAATTGCTGATTTAATTCCGCAGTTGTAGGACTTCCATTCAGCTTGATTTCAGGTGGTTTTGAATGATGGTTGTTCTGTAGTTTAGTTGTAACTTTGATGTGGTTGTGGGAGGACGCGATACCGCATTTACCTACGCCACCATCTTGACCGGAAGTCTCCAGTTTTATCTATTTTAAAGGAATGAAAACACAGATCCACGCAAAAACTTGTGCACAAGTGTTCTTAGCAGCATTATTTATAAATAGCCAGAAATGTAAATAACTCAAATGTCCCTATGTCTATGCAGGGGAATATTTATTTGACAATAAAAGTAGTGAAGTACTGATACCTGCTAAAACATGGATGCCTCTTAAATCCATTAGGCTTAGTGAAGGAAGCCAGTCACAATAGACCACACACACAGTGTATGATTCCATTTATATGAAATGTCCAGAATAAGGCAGATCGTAGGAACAGAAGGTAGATTAGGGATTGCTTCGAGCTGATGCTGGGGTGGTGGACAGGGTGGAGGGGCAGGGAGACTGCTAAGGAGTACTAGGTTTTATTTTTGGATGATTACAAATTCTAACACTAGATTGTGAGATTGTGGTATGATTGCACAACTCTTAATATAATTAAAAAATGAATTGTACCTTTTAAATGGGTGAGTTGTGTGATATGTAAATTATATTCCAATACAGCTGTTACCAAAAAAGAAAAAAAAGTAATGTTCCACTTTGTATTCTGGCCAGAATGTGCATGAAATTACCATTACCCGTTTTAATGTTAATCGACACACACTAAGAAATTTTCCAGTTTGTTAAATTGGAACAGTGGTTCAACTAAAAGAGATTTTGCTCCCCAGTAGATATCGAGCAATGTCTGGAGACATTTTTGACTGTCACCACTGGGGAGAGGGGATGCTACTGCTCTCTAGTGAGTAGAGACCAGGGATGCTGCTAAGCATATTATAAGGGCCAGCTCTTATGCCAAATAATTATCCAACCCAAAATATCAATAGATAATCAAGGTTAAGAAACCCTGGACTAGAAATAACATCTTATTTTAATTTATATTTCTTCGATTATTTGTAAGGGTCAATTTTTTTCTATATGTTTACTAATTAGTTATAGTTTATAAATTTTCTGTTCACATTTCTCATCAATTTCTGAGTTTTTTTTTTTTTATCCTCACGTGAGGACATTTTTCCATTTCTTGTTCAGATACAGTGGGAGGGAGAGAGAGGAAGTGAGAGAGAGAGAGAAACATCGACATGAAAAGGACACATCCAGTGGCTGCCATCTGCACGACCAACCAGGGCCGGGGGCAAACTGCAACCAAGGTACATGCCCTTAGCGGGAACTGAACCCGGGTCTCTCTGGACCACAGGCCGACGCTCTAACCGCTGAGCCAAATCGGCCAGGGCTGTATGAGTTCTTTATATTAGTAAGATATTAACTCTTTATTTTATATACTTAATTTATTTTCTCTCAGTTTTCTTGTAAATTTTAAGTTTATATTGATTATCAATGTGTTTTTACGTGATCAGACATCACTTTTTAATTGTATCCAGTCTAGGAATTTCTTCCTCTATCTGCCTACCCCTCCCTGAATAAGTTTGTTTTTATTAAACTTTTTTTTTTTCTCTTTGCAAATTAAAGCCCATAGTTTATTCAGATTTTCTTAGTTTTTCCCTAATGTCTTATGCTAGGTCTGCCCTCTAACACCACATTCCATTAGTTGTCATGGCTCTTTAGGGGCTCCCCTTGGCCATGACAGTTTCAAAATGTTCTTCTTTTTGTTTGTTTTTCAGGTTCTTTTTGGTGAAAATTTCTCCCTCTAGAAATTGTTTTTAAAAATAACAAAACAAATGACAAAAGAATGTCCTTAGTTTTGATTCCCCTTTAGTTTTTTGTTTTTTTTTTATCTTTATTGTTGAATATTAAACTTTTTCTTGGAGTTTTGTCTTTTCACCTTTAGCTTATTTAAATGCATATATAATTTATTATTTTGTGTATTATGAGGTAATTTTAGGAATAAGTTTTTTCTAAATAGTAATGTCTGGTTTTCTTCCTTTTGAAGAAACATTTGGCTTATACAGTGTATTTCAGGTCCAAGATAACTTTCAAAAAATGAAGCTTTCTAAGGGTTTATGTAAAAGAGGGAATGTGTAATCACTGCTTATCTTCCTTAACACTGGAATTCAGTGACATTCCAAAAGGTAATTAGGTGTTTTTAACTCACCTCAGTAAAAGCAGTAGTCACAGAGATCGCCATGTAAGACTTGCAGAAATATGTAAATAAATATCAAAGCTGGAAATGGAAATTGTTTGCAGTTTGGGATTAATAACTCATTATTAATGAATTTTCTGATATGATCAAAGAGTTGGGGAAAGTGATATTGTGTGTGTTTGTGTGTGTGTGGTGTATTTGGTAAGAAGGAGAACAATATTTCTAATCAAGAAATTAACAGGGCCCTGGCCGGGTGGCTCAGTTGGTTGGAACATTGTCCTGTACACCAAAAGGTTGCGGGTTCGATTCCCAGTTAGTGCACATACCTATGTTGCAGGTTTTATAACCTGTGGGGGTGCATATAGGAGGTAACTGATCAATGTTTCTCTCTCTCTCCCTCCTTTCCTCTCTCTCTAAAATAAATTTTTTAAAATCCCTGTTTGAGGATTTTAAAACAAAGAAAGAAAGACATTAAAAGGGGTTATTAGTTTATTACATAAAACAGAAATTTTATGAGTCTCTGATAATCTATCAGTTAAGTAAATGAATGGGAATAAGTATAGATATCTTCCTATTATTGTACAGATGGAGAATGAGTTAGATTCTGCTCGTTCTGAAATAGAACTCCTCAGGAGTCAGATGACAAATGAGAGAATCTCCATGCAGAATCTAGAAGCTTTGCTTGTGGCCAATCGGGACAAAGAATATCAGTCTCAGATAGCGCTTCAAGAAAAAGAATCTGAAATTCAGCTTCTTAAAGAACACCTTTGTTTGGCAGAAAATAAAATGTGAGTTTTTGATAATTCATAGGTTAATAGAATTTTAAAGCTGGAATTTATGTAATTTAAATATCCATAATTAGCCATTAATTAAACTAAGGACCAGAATATTGTGATTTGCTTAAAATGTAGTATTTATTTCAATTATATGTTTAGAATGTTGATCTCTGTTGATTGTTTCCAGTAGAGCTTTGGGAATAATAGAATGTCTGATCTAAAATATTGCCTTTAGGAAATATATAACCAGATTAGAAAACAAAACAAAACACTTCTGAAACCAGAAGAATTTTTCTATTTATGGACCCACCTTGTATTGCTACCTAACCTTTCCATTTGTTACACAGTTTCCTCATGTACTATTAATTGTACATATTAGATACCTGGAAGAACTACTGCATTCACAGAACACTGAAGATTTCCCTGCAGGGGTAGGGAACGTCCAGCCTGAGGACCATAGAAGGCCTGAAAAATCAATACCTGCTAACATCACACACCTCATCAAATTAGCCTGACCAAATACAGCAGGCTAATTTTTAAGTTGATAATTGTTTATGTCCCACGAGTGATGTTATAAATACCCAAATGGCCCTTGACAGAAAAAAAGGTTCCCCACCCCTGCTTTAGAACATTGATTTGGCTTCTTTTAGAATCCTCAGCACCATTAGCAGCTTATTACATGTCCCTGGCTGGAAGGCTGGGTATGCCTCCCTGGGTAGTAAATGCTCTATTGTTAAACTTGGTCACCTCTCACAAAAACCTTATGGGTACCCTTAGTTTCTGTTCCTATCTATCTCACCTAGAACACTTTTCATCCAGCCTCAACTCTGCCCTCCTGTCTGAACGTGGGACCTGGGGAAGGATAGGAATCATGATCTCAGAAATCAGCCACTCATAGGAGCTCCTGACTAAGCAACTCTGCAAAGACAAAGCCAGCTTCCTTCAGAAACTGTTTTCAGGTTATGGCAGCTGTCACTGAGTCATTCTTTTTAGTCACCACAGCTGGGCTGTTGTGACACCTTCAACTAGTTCTGCAAGATCACTTTCTCAAGCTGGCTGGTATAAATCTGCCATAGTGAAGTATGCCAAAACCCCCCTACCTAAAAAGGCTACATTCTGTTTCAGACTGGCTGATAAGTACTATCGAACCATTAAACATGATCAACTTTTGTGCTCCTAGTCTTTGAGTTTAGATTTCAGCAGTCTGTAATGCAGTCCTGGAAGCAAGCAAAGAGGTGTTCTGTACACGCAGCATTCATCTCCGTCATTATCTTCCTTATGATAGTGTGCCCTGTTGCAGGGGTTTTGTGGCATGGTTCAGCCCTAAGGAAGATCCTGTGAAATAAAATTTAATTATGCGTATACATAAAGCGTTCGGTTGATTTAATATATATTAACAGACCATATTAATTATGGTGTTAACGAATTCTAGTTTTGATTATTCAGTTATACTATCACTTCACATATAATACTTGAAAATACTTTTATAAAATTATTTGCAGTAAATAGGTAACATAGATGGATAATAGATAATATTACTCCATGTAAACACCAGGAAACTGACACAGAGCAGGTTTAAATAATTGAATGTGACTGGCACTGCTTAAACTTTTTAAGTAGGCTACTTGGTATATTTGTTTCATCTAAAATGGTCATATGCATCCATAAAAATCACAATTTGGCTTAGGTCCAGTGGAGAAAACATTACCAACATGGTTCTGTGTATCCTAGGAGTCCTAGACTTTTTTTAAGTGTAATCAACTGTCGCTCTTGTATTCTTTTTACACAGGGCCATCCAGAGTAGAGATGTGGCCCAGTTCAGGAATGTTGTTACACAACTGGAAGCTGATTTAGACATTACCAAAAGACAACTAGGGACTGAGCGCTTTGAAAGGTAAATTGATCTCTATGCAGTATTTAGCCTGGGAAGCATTGCTTCTTAGATAACAACAGATTTTGGTTATTCCATGACGGTTAGGTTTTAAAGTATGAATTGAACTTTAGTTTTACCACAGTATTAATAACATCACTGGATATAAGGTTAAAAAATTTCTATTTTATACATTTTCGCTTTAGGGAGAGGGCTGTGCAAGAACTTCGACGCCAGAATTACTCAAGTAATGCTTATCATTTGAGTTCTACAATAAAGCCAAATACAAAATGTCATTCACCAGAACGTGCTCACCATCGATCTCCTGACCGAGGCCTAGATAGATCACTAGAAGAGTGAGTGGCTTAAGGATCCATTCTGTGGGGAACATATAGCAATATATACAATGAATATTGAGGATGTAAGGAAACTCAATAATGGTCTATCATTAATAGTGCTATTTAAGCACGACTACAAATGTTTACATAAAAATATTTTGATAATTTTATATAAACATTCTAAAGTGAAAGATTTCTATTTTATCTGTTTATATAAATTATACTTTTAAAATCTGATTTTATTTCTACATCAATTTTATTAATTTTAAATTACTTAACTTGATTTAACTTTAATAAAATATTGGTTAATTTTTATAGCATCCAAAAATACATATGCTGTAGGAAAATGATAAGCTAACTTTCCAGAGGCAATACTTTAGATTAATTCCAAATGTCACAAATTTTATTAAAACTTTTTTTTTTATCCTCACCCGAGGACATTTTTCCATCTTTTGTTCAGGTAGAGTGGGAGGGAGAGAGAGGAACAGAGAGAGAAAGAGAAACATCAACATGAAAGGGACACATTGAGTGGCTGCCACCCACACGACCAACCAGGGCCAGGGACAAATGGCAACCGAAATATGTGCCCTTAGTGGGAACCGAACCCCGGTCTCTCTGGACCGCTGGCTGACGCCCTAACCACTGAGCCAAACCGACCAGGGCTATAAAAACATTTTTATTTGGAAATAATTTCAAGCTTACAAGAAGTAACAAAAATAAAACAATACAGAAGACATCTGTATACCTTTTACCCATACTCACCATTGTTAAAAGTTTACCCCATTTACTTTTTATATGTTTGAGACAAAACATGTGCTGTCTCACACACACACACACTCTTGCACATGCTCCCTCTCTCTCCCTCTCTACTTTTTTATTTGTATGTCCTTTCTTCTACAGTGGGAACCCTGGCTCAACATCAACACATTTTACTCATCATCAGCATAGTTACTCATTTGTTCAATCCCAGAATGCATCAAAAATATTTCAAAATTTCGTACCTATGGCACTACAATAAGCAGATCAACTTTTTTAAAAAGTTCAGGTCGTGTTTGCAACTCTTCTTTCCTATTCCCATATGCCTTAAGGCCCAAATGTTGTGGGCATATGGTTAAATATTGTGTTCACAAATTACTTGGATTAATTTTTTTATTTCGCTGGGGTTATTGTATGTATATTTGAAATACCATTCCAATTTTTAGTGTTCTTGCATTGTGATGAGAGAATATAGTTTATAATATTTCTATTTTATGGAAACTACTGATGTGTTCTTTGTACTTTACTACATGATCAATTTTTGTGAACAGTTTATGTGCACTTAAGATGATAAATTCTTCTCAGGCTATAGTGTATATATATATATAAAATATTTACCTTTTAAATTTGATTTAGCTCTTTTGTATTGTTGCTTAATTTTTGTCCATTTGACCTATTTTACAAAGAATGGTGTTTTAAAATCTACCATTAGTATATTTTTGTTTCTTCTTGTAGCTCCTATAAACTTCATATTATATAGGCGATTTGTGGTTTTATTTGTTGCATAGATATTCTGAACTATCATATCTTCATTGTGGAATGTGGTCCTTTTATGAAGTATCCTCTTCTAACACATTTAGCTTTTTTGGAGGGGGTAGAGGCTTGGCACCGACTTTGTCTGTTATTAGAGTTACAGTTCCTGTTTCCTTATTGTCTTCGTTTGCTTGGTATATTTTTGTTGAACTCTTTATTTTTTTAGCTTTTTTTATTTTATTTTATTTTATTTTTATTTTTATTTTTTTGTATCCTCACCCGAGGATATTTTTCCATTTTTTGTACAGATAGAGTGGGAGGGAGAGAGAGGAAGGGAGAGAGAGAGAGAAACATCGATGTGAAGGGACACATCGAGTGGCTGCCACCCGCACGACCAACCAGGGCCGGGGACAAAGTGCAACCGAAGTACGTGCCCTTAGCGGGAACCGAACCCGGGTCTCTCCGGACCGCAGGCCGACGCTCTAACCACTGAGCAAAACCGGCCAGGGCTTTAGCTTTTTTTAATCACTGCATTTTAAGTATCTATCTTACATATAGTATGGGTTTGAGTTTTGTTTTATGAGCCATTTAGAAATTCATTTTTAAAAAAACAGATGAGTTAAGCTTCTTCACATTATTGAGATGACTGTTAAATTTGGTTTTAACTCTGTGATATTATCTTATGATAATTCTGTTTATTATGTGACATTTACTGTATTTCTTCTCAATTTGTTTATTCTTCTTTGCTTTCAAACATTTCTTTTGATATTCAGGAAGGAATGTGTTTTAATATAGTGGTTACCTTTTATTTTTTCAGTTTTATTTATTTGTTCATTTATTTTTATTATTTTTAATTGAATATATAGTGGTGACATTTGTTCACAAAACCATACAAAGGTTAAGTGTACAACTCAATAAAACATCATTGGCATACTGCTTTGTGCACCAGTTCCCCACGCAAAGTCTCTTTTCATCCCGTTTCTTACCCTTGTCCATCCCTACCTACCCCCAAACCCTTCACCTTCTTTCACCCAGTCCCCCAACTCCCCTCCCCTCTCACAGGTGTCAGTCTGTTTCTTTTGTCCATGCCTCCATTTCTGTTTTGTTCGTCAATTTATTTTTGTTTATTATATTCCACATATAAGTGAGATCATGTGGTATTTGTCTTTCTCTGGCTGGCTTATTTCACTTCGTGTAATTAGGTCCAAGTCCATTTTACTTTTTTTTTTGTATAGCTGTGTAGTATTCTATTGTGTAAATGTACTACAGCTTTTTATCCAATCAGATACTAATGGGTACTTGGGTTGTTTTCTGATGCTGGATATTGTAGATAACACTGCAATGAATATAAGGGTGCATATATTCTTTTGAATTAATGTTTCTGGATTCTTAGGATATATTCCCAGAAGTGAAATGGAAGTTCCATTTTTAATTTTTTGAGGAAACTTCATACTGTTTTCCATGGTGGCTGCACCAGTCTGCATTCCACCAACAGTGTACTACAGTTCTCTTTGCTACACAGTCTCGCCAGCACTTATTTGTTGATTTACTGATGGTAGCCATTCTGGCAGGTGTGAGGTGATTTCTTATTGTAATTTTAATTTGTATCTCTCTGATGATTGGTGATGGTGAGCATTTTTCATATGTCTATTGGCCATCTATATGCCCTCTTTGGAGAAGTGTCTATTCAGATCCTTTGCCCGTTTTTTAAATGGGTTGTCTTTTTGGTGTTCAGTTGTATAAGTTCTTCATATATTTTAGAAATTAACCCCTTATCATATGTATCATTGGAAAACATGTTCTCCCATACAGTGGGTTCCCTTTTCATTTTATTGCTTGTTCCTTTTGCTGTGCAGAAGCTTTTTAGTTTGATGTAGTCCTATTGTTTGTTTGTTTGTTTCTGTGTTTCCCTTGCCCTAGGAACAAGGGAAAAATATTGGCAGAATTATTGCTTTGAGAGATTGGGGGGGGGGGGGGGCTATTTTTTTTTTTTTGCAGGATTTTAATGGTTCTGTAACTTACATTTAAGTCTTTTATCCATTTTGAGTTTATTCTTGTGTATGGTATAAGGTGGTGGTCTAATTTCATTTTTTTTGCATTTACCTGTCCAATTTTACCAGCACCATTTATTGAAGGCATTGTCTTTACTCCATTGTATGCTCTTGCCTCCTTTGTCAAATATTAATTGAGCATAGAGGTGTGGGTTGATTTCTGGGCTCTCTGTTCTGTTCCATTGATCTATATACTGTTCTTATTTCAGTGCCAGGCTGTTTTTATTACAATGGCTTTGTAGTATAATTTGATATCAGGTGTTGTGATCCCTCCAACTTCTTCTTTCTCAAGATTGCTGAGGCTACTGGGAGTCTTTTTTGGTCCCATATAAATTTTTGGAATATTTGTTCTAGATCTGTGAAATATACCATTGGTATTTTAATAGGAAGTGCATTGAATTTGTAGGCTGCTTTAGGTAGTATGGACATTTTAATTATGTGTATTCTTCCACTTAATAAAAACAGCATATACTTCCACTTATTTGAATCTTCATCAATTTCTTTCTTCAGGATTCTACAGTGTTCCGAATACAGGTCTTCTACTTCCTTGGTTATATTTATACCTAGATACCTTTTGTTGTTGTCATTGCAATAGTAAATGGGATTGTTTTCTTAGTTTCCCTTTTTGGTAGTTCATTATTGGTGTATAAAAATGTATCTAATTTCTGGATATTTATTTTGCATCCTGCTACTCTCCTGAATTCATTTCTCAGTTTTAGTTGTTTTTTGGTGGAATCTTTAGGGTTCTCTATGTACAGTATCATGTCATCTGCAAATAATGACAGTTTTACTTCTTTCCAATTTGGTTGCCTTTTATTTCTTCTTCTCTGATTGCTGTGGCTAGAACTTTCAGTACTATGTTAAATAAGAATGGTGAAAGCAGACATCTTTTTTTTTTTTTTTTTAATCCTCACCCGAGGATATTTTTCCATTTTTTGTACAGATAGAATGGGAGGGAGAGAGAGGAAGGGAGAGAGAGTGAGAAACATCGACGTGAAGGGACACATCAAGTGGCTGCCACCCGCACGACCAACCAGGGCCGGGGACAAATTGCAACCGAAGTACGTGCCCTTAGCGGGAACCGAACCCGGGTCTCTCCGGACCGCAGGCCAACGCTCTAACCGCTGAGCCAAACTGGCCAGGGCGTGAAAGCAGACATCTTTGACTTGTTCCTCATCGTAAGGGAAGTGCTTTTAGTTTTTGCCCATTAATATGGTATTGGCTGTGCATATTTGATATGTGGCCTATATTATGTTGAGATATGATCTGTCTATTCCCACTTTTCTGAGTTTTTATCATAAATGGGTACTGGGTTTTATCATATGTTTTCCTGCAACTATTGATATAATTATGTGATTTTGAATCATTCATTTTGTTTATGTGAAGTATCACATTTATTGATTTGCAAATATTGTACAAACATTATGTCCTCAGAATAAATCTCACTTGATCATGGTGTATG